TGTCTAAGTCTCTAAAACGACAATCAACCATTTTACCCGGCGAATTCGGTCTGGGATTGTTGCTTTAAACGCTGACGCTCTCTCTTCCAAATGACTTGAGGCAGACGAGGAGAGAGTGGGCGGGCAACGGCGCGAGCGGCGTGCCTGTAGTCCAGGCATATTCTTCGCTGCGAAACACGCATCGTCTTGTAGCCTTGCGGAGCCCGCCTGCCATCCTTTCTTCCATCCGTTCGCCCCACCTTGAAGGAATCCTCTCTTAAGGCGACTAGTTTGAGCCAGTTACTTCTGGAGCTACTTTTGGAACGATTTATAAATAATTCCACAAAAGCTACTTTCCTAGCTCATTCTTTCTTTCCAGGCTCTACTCAATTTCCGAAGAAAAAGCACCGTCGGCTGGTCTATTGGCAACGTTCTCCTTGACTTCACTGGAGGTTGTCTCGATATTCTTCAAATGGTTTTGCAGTGCTGGAATGTGTCCGAATGGTCAGCATTCTATGGAAATCCCGTAAAATTCGGTCTGGGTCTTGTCTCAACAATGTTCGACATTCTCTTCATCATCCAACACTACGTTCTCTATCCACACAAGACGTCGCAGTCACGAACAGATCCCGAGAAGAGTGACCGACAGGAGGTGAGCAGGCAGGTCAGAGACGGAAAAGCTGAGCAGAAGTGGACGAGATTCCGCATCAAAAAGCACAGGAAAGAGTAGCACCAGACAACATACCGGCGAGAGCTAGGTCTCACAAAGAAAATCTACATGTCTTCTTCGCTGATATTGTTGAATAAAAATCGTTTTAAAGCTCAATCAGTACGGTAGTGACTAGATTTCATCTCATTCTCTATAAACTTGTAGGCTCAAATTTACAGTACTTTTTTCAAAGCTTTAAAGACTTTTAGGTATAACGACCACTCATCACTTACTTTAATTCCAAGTTACAATTCCGTTGAAGTGTTCAAATTATTTATTGCCATTAATCGATAGTAATAAGGAGGGCAATAAACGTGACAAACTGCCATTGTGTTACAACAAAAAAATCAACAATATTCGCGAACAAATTCCCCCAACTACCTTGAGATACAGACTGCCAACACACCGGTAATAAATAGACTCTTAGTCTACGCATCAAGCGTCCACCATGAGCCGTGGAGCAATTGACATCGACATCAGCTCTTGGAACAATAGCTTGCAGGCATACGGTATACGAACAGCCGACACCTGCGTCTTGTTACGACAAGCCTGAAGTATCTAATTAGTACTGGAAAATAACATCATGACAGACAAATATAATACCTTGCATTCGAAGCTGTTCGTTCGGAGGTTTGCAACAACGATAAGGCCGCAATTGTTGCAAATGTACACGTGGTACGGGTCAGACACTTCGAAGAGACGTTCCCGAAGGAATTGCGCTGCTCCATGGGAGATCTGACAATCGCGCTCCATCTCACCGAAACGCAAACCGCCATCCCTGGAAAATAATTACATACTGATACGGTTTATTCCATCTCACCCATAAATCACTGGCTTGGAGACCATCGTCCACGATAAGAACGAAAAGAACAAAAAGATTGCGTTTGCTTTGGCAAACAATTCGAAAAACCGGAAGGCTTGACAACATCCCGTTCATTGCCCGGACCATTTGTCTTAAAGCAAAGGTCGGATTAGTTGACCAAACCAACCCTTTCGGTCATGCTGTACTTGGTTACGCACCCGTAGAGATGTTCCCACACTCAAAACCCGAAACGGCGCAGTAATAAGGCCCCAGGGCATGTACTATGCGCTATCGCCGCCTGGCCCCGCTACGACCGCCCACCTCGGGATGTGGTGCATGGCTGGCATAACGTGTGAAATCAGCTAGGTTGATGCCGTATCAACCGATAGAACGACTGATATCTTCAGAAAACTTGTTTGTACGTGCCTCTTCCCCAAGCCAGCCTCCTTCACTGCTAGTGGGAAAGAGGGTTTTGTTAACGGCCTTGTCGACGGTTTTTCTCAGTTTTTTCTCCACTGTCGTTCCACTTCGCATCTCTATACTCAGTTTCAATCGCCATAATACCCCCTTATTGAGCCCGACTTTTGCCTTTAAATGCGGGGCGGTAATGCTTCCTTGGTTCACGGAGTACTGTCACTAGGATTTCTTTCTGGCCTTTTTTGACTTGTTGCATCAACATCTCACACTTTTACTTCGTCCTATTCAATCGATCGAGTCGTTTCTACTCTTCAAGAACGGCGCGGCCTTCCACCAACCAATGCCCGGCTCTGCATCTGTAGTCCGCCCTACAGGCCAAGCCCACTTCGTGCAACACCTTTCGTGGCCCCCGCGCCTTCCTATCAACCTACTCGACCAATTCCATAGTGCGGTTTTCACGTGAGGATGAGCTTCTCTTCGAAAATCGAATCGTCGTGGGGAAACCTTGTGTGTTGTCTCTAGTGATTACAACTGACACATCTACGCTGAGAAAGAATGTAAGTATTTTCTAGGAAAGATTCCTTCAAACTGGTCAAGTTGAACAAAAGGAAAAAAAAAACTAAATTAAAGAATAGGTGAAAACGACCAGGTAAGTCTATAAGCTTTCAACAGGTGAATGGTTAAGTGATAGATCAGCAATTCCGCTGGTATTCGAAAGACTATCAGAATTTTGAATTACAGAACTTTAGCCCCTGGATATGGGCATATCAAAGTTTTTCTCTATAATTTCATCCCAACTCTATTTCAATTTAATAGCCTAGCCTCATTCTGATTTCCAGAATTCTCACATTTCCATGATTTCCTTCGAAAAGCGCTGTCAATTCATGAAAGCTCCGGCTAACTATGACAATTTTTAATTAAAAAAAAATCTGGATTTTGCGAATAATCCAACCTCGCTCGACCCTCCATAGGCTGCCTATTCATCATCTGAATTGGTCCCCTGGCACGTGAATGGATCTTGTCGTCTACCATGTGTTTCAGGCGTTGATAATATGTTGGTCCAAAGAAGAATCTGCAAGAAATTAGAGAATATTACGGCTACTCTGCAAATGTATTCAAAAACTGCGAGGATACAAACCTGTGTAGTGAGTTTTGTCCCTGTATGTCCGTTATACATCACTTCGTTTCCTCTTAAATGATACCCGTATTCTTGCAATAAGTTACTGATTTTCTGTACGTTTACAGTATCGTTGAAAGGAGTCGCGTCACCAATTTCACCCTTGTTTGCTGACAGCTAAACGAAAAAACTTTAGAAGGGAAAACACAGAACCCTAAAGTCGTTAAACCACAACAAACCTTGCCCTGCAGACATTCGATTAAATGGCCAATCGTCATACGAGATGGTACAGCGTGTGGATTAATGATGATATCAGGCGTTAGTCCTTCACAGGTGAATGGCATATCTTCCTGGAAAACAGTAAATCCAGTAAGTTCGAAAAGAATTAGGTGGATAATAAGTAGGAAATGCTGAATTGGAGTAAAGTAAGTAAGTACTGATCAAAGGAGTTGACGAATTCCGCCTCCAATACTAGGTAAATATGAGTACGTATTTGATCTACATAAATATTATTCTCTGCATTTGACTATTTTCGACAAATCAAAACTTCTGTAACTAACTTAACTTCTTCAAATGAATTGGCACAAGAAATTAGAAATCTAGGTCGCGACAAATCTCTCCATGAATCAAGATTCAGATTGGTTTTTAAAACCAAAACTCACCATTACTTTCCTACTTACTTAATCGCAAATTCTCATTAAATGCGCACAGGCCACACCTACTTTCAAAACTCATGACATATGTTGCTAAAATAGCCATACCTGTCTATACATAATACCCATGGTACCCTTTTGGCCATGCCGTGATGCAAATTTGTCACCGATTTGTGGCAACCTCACTGAACGCACACGAATTTTCACAAATTTATTACCGTCAGTGTTAAGGGAGACCATGACCTATAATGAAGAAGTTCTAGAACAAGCTATAATTTTGAAAGATGATGGCCGTAACAAGATACCTGGTCAATAATTCCGGTCTCAGAACTGCGAAGGAATGTTGATGCATCACGTTTTGTGTACTTCTTACTACTAGCATCCAGATCGTCGTCCTGAATACTTACCAAATTCACGCAGACCATGAATGCTTGATGTACTACAGGCTTTTCTGAACTCACAACTTCAGGAAGAGCCACGGTTTTGCCGATAATGACGTCATCGCCAGAAACACGCATTCCAGGCGAAATGAATTCCATCGTCATCAAGCTGGAAATGAGCAACAATACTTCCGATATAAGGTACGAGAGTATGACAAAATACCTTGTCATAAAGAGAATGCCTCATTCCGGAACACTTTGTCTCGAGTCGGCTTCTCAATCAGCTCCTCATTGGCACCATCCAAGTTTGCCTCCTGGTCTCGGTAGGACCGGTAGAAA